CCCCGCCACGCCCGCCCCACGCGTCGCTTGTTGACCGAGACGCGCTCGGCTGCGTCCGCCAGGCAGACACGTGCGGCTCGGGCGTGGCCTTCGGGACCTTCGGCCCCCGCGGGCGGAGAGGAAACGAGGGGAAGTCAAGAGACGCGGCAGCGAGGAACGCGACTGATCACGAGTAGTACAACACGGATCACAGGTTATACTCGGATTACTCATTACTCCCCCAGTTTATACCTCAAGGGAGCACAGTACCGTACCGGAGTACCCGCTGATCGGGATTACCCGGCGTATCCCCAGTAATCGCCCCCTGAGTCACCCAGAAAATGGTATCCTGAAACCAAGGATTTTTCTTTAAAAAAAATACAAGGTAATTTTCGACCTTGGTTTAAGGTTTTTCCGTTAACTTCAAGGAAATTAAGTTGGTCTAAGGAAATTTTTACATTATTTTAACGTCATTTGCCTTAAGTTAAAGACAATTTTCCTTGTATTTTTTTGAGGTAAAAATAGCGTTGAAGCAACGCATTTTGCCTTGTTTCAAGACTACCATTTTCTGGGTGTGCCCTTCTCAGAACCTGTTCCTTCCAAAACATCTTTGAAGTACCTCCGGTTAGTTTGCCCTTGAGTACCCTTGCCCCGCGCCAGATTACCCCCGTAGTACCTCCAGCCAGGACATTTCAGGACTACCCCCATACCTCCCTGGATTACCCCAGTAGAACGTAGTACTTTTAGATTCTCCCCCCCCCCCCTGGTGTCACCGCGGCAGTACCTCCGGAGTACCCTCGTAGTACCTGCCGATCACACCCCAGTACTACCCCCTAGACTACCCCTAGGTACCTCCGGGTTGACACGGGCCGTGGATTCCACAAGTCGTTTCCCTCTGCCTCCGGCCCGCCCCCGGCCGGCCCCCAGCCCGCCCCCTTCCGGGTCCACCCCCGGGGGTGGGGGGGATAACGGCCGAGGGGGGTGCTTGGTTGGTCGCGGGCGCTGCGCCGCCTGTGCCCCGCTGGGGGGGCGCCGGTGGGGGGCGCCGGTGGGGGGCGTGCCCCAGCCACCCGCTCGATACTCTGGCGTGTGCAACGGTTGGCAGAGGGACCGCGCGCTGCGGCCCTTCGGTCCCCGTCCGCCCCTTACAGCCACAGCCACCACCCGCCCCCTGCGAGCCCTCCCGTCCTAGAAGGGCGCCGTCGGGGGGATAGCGCGGGTCCCGCGTCGCCCCCGCCCCCCAACTCTGGCCGCGCCCCTCACAGCGGCGCTCCCCTACCCCCGCCCCCCGACGAGCTCTCGCGTCCTTGAAGGTGCCGTCGGGGGTGCATGGCGCGGGCCCCGCGACGCCTCCGCCCCCGCCACCCTGCAGACCCGCCCCCCACGCTGGCCGCGCCCCGCAGCTGTACCCACCACGCCCCCGCCCCCCGCCCGGGCGCCGCTCTGGGTGGGGCCCCGGAGGGGGCGGGGGGACGTCCGTGGGCGTGGGTACAGCCCGGTACTCTGTGCGCGGAAAGTGGGGCGGCCGTCGGCGCAGCCCGACAGCGGACGGAGACCAAGGCGAAACAAAAGGACTTGCGCCTGTGGTAGATAGGGTGCACTGACTCGACTGACTTGACTAACAATCGTAAGAAACTTGGGATTTCGCGACATGTTTTCAAAAAAGTAAATAAAATCACACGCAGGATTTATCTACTTTTTATGCAGTTTTCCACTGTTTGGTGCTTTTAGGGTGCGTCATTCATAGCATAGCATGAATCACTCCTTGCACTCGCTGACACGACCTTCCGTGTGCAGCTGACACCTGCCCCTCGCACCTTGACTTCGTTTCCTTTCCCCGCCTTCGAGCTGTTGATAGGGCAATATATGCCCCGCGGCGAGAGAGGGAGT